CGGCGGGGAAGGAGGGAAGGGGCTCGGCGCCACTGGCCATGGCTGCTGGCTGTGTCTGGCAGTGGCTGCTGGTGTCATAGAATCATAGAATCGTCTAGGTTGGAAAAGACCCTTGGGATCATTGAGTCCAACCATCAAGCCTACTCTACGAAGTTCTCCCCTACACCATATCCCCCAGCACCACATCTAAACGACTCTTTTGGTGACTCAACCACCTCCCTGGGCAGCCTACTGACCGCTCTTTCTGTGAAAAATTCTGTCCTAACGTTCAGTCTAAACCTACCCTGTTGGAGCTTGAAGCCATTCCCTCTCATTCTGTCACTAATTACTTGCGAGAAGAGACCAGCACCAACCTCTCTACAGTGTCCTTTCAAGTAGTTGTAGAGAGTGGTGAGGTCTCCCCTCAGCCTCCTCTTCCTCAAACTAAACTGTTCCAGCTCCTTCAGCCGCTCTACATAAGATTGATGCAGCCCCCATGGCCTACAGGCTTTGCCTCCTGCCAGCCTGGGTCTGAAATAGATGACCATGAGCCAGCAACATGCCCTTGTGGCCAAGAAGGCCAATGGCATACTGGGGTGCATCAGGAAGAGTGTGAGCAGCAGGTTGAGAGAGGTCATCCTGCCCCTCTGCTCTGCCCTGGGGAGGCCTCATCTGGAGCACTGGGTCCAGTTCTGGGCTCCCCAGTTCAAGAAGGACAGGGAACTGCTGGCCAGGGCACAGCAGAGGGCTACAAAGACGATTAAGGGCCTGGGGCATCTCTCTTATGAGGAAAGGCTGAGGGACTTGGGTCTTTTTAGTCTAGAGAAGAGAGAACTTAAGAGGGGATCTAATTAATGCTTACAAAAGGGAGGGTGTCAGGAGGACGGGGCTGGTCTTTTTTCAGTGGTGCCCAGTGACAGGACAAGAGGAAATGGGCACAAAACTTGAACATAAGAAGTTCCACCTAAACGTGAGGAGGAATTTTACTGTGAGAGTGGTAGAACCCTGGAACAGGCTGCCCAGAGAGGTGGTGGAGTCTCCTTCTCTGGAGACATTCAAACCCCACCTGGACACGTTCCTGTGCAACCTGCTCTGGGTGGACCTGCTTTGATGGAGGGGTTGGACTAGATGATCTCCAGAGGTCCCTTCCAACCCTGTATGATTCTATGAAAGAAAGGTGGCAGGCCTGGCTGTGGGCTGGAGATGCACGCTGTCTCCAGCTGGCTGGCTCTGCTGCTCCTTTCCTTCACCCTAGTGCACTTCACTTGCCCTAAACAAACAGCTGCCTTTTTTTCCAGCTGGTTGTACCGGTCACCAAAAACACCCCAAGCTTTGAGGTGCCTTGGTGTGGGAGAGCTGCAGGAAGGCTCTGTGGGGCAAGGGCTCCAGGTTGTCCCTGCAAAGGCAGCCTCACCACCAGAGCTTGGTGGAGCATCCCAGGCTGTTTTGCAATGGACCTGTCATCCCCGAGGGCTTTGACCCAGTAGACCCAGGCTCTACCTTTTTGCCCAGTGCAAGGTGTCTTCAGCTGAGCCCAGCAACGTGGCTGGGCACCTCTTCATCCCATGGAGCTGCCTCACAGGAGTGGGCGCTCCTCAGCCAGCGGTGCTGGGGTTTCACCTCATTTCCAGCCACTTGGTCCTGAAGATGCTTTTCTGTCCATCCTAGAAGCATGCTGTGCTTTGCACGTATTCCTCCTCCTCTGATCTAACAGCCAGCCCTCCTCTGTCTTCCAGGAAAGCTATTGCCAAGTCCAGCCTCCAGCACATGGTAGCCCAGCCAAACGCTGCACTAGCCCTGAGGGGCAACTCAGAGAGGCAGATACGCAACACTGTGGACTGGAGCATAAGTTACAG